CATTTCTAAAGCACCTTCCACTGAGCCAGAACTAGAGGTGGAATCTGGTCCTCGTTCATGTGTTTTCAGCAGTTTCTACATGAAAATAGGAGCTTTGTTGTTACTGACATGGAGAAACATACATGAGGCGAGCCTGAAGAGGCAAGAGTATATGGCAGTACTGAACAGAGCTTTGATAAGTACATGTACAGCCTCTCCATATGCACCCAGTCACAAGAGTAGGTCTGACTTGAAATACTTTGCTTTTCAGGAAGAACTGCAAGGACCCGGAGGGATTCAAAGTAGAGGCTACTTTTTCTTCAGGGTATGTTTATTTCTTTGCTTGTTTGTTTGTCTTTCTTTTCAAAGTAAGCACAAGAATTGAGGGAATGTATGAGGGAACTTTTTTTTTCGGTATTTTTACAGTATCCTACTGTAAGTATTTCCATTCTAGATATTTGTCTTTTTTTTTTTTTACAAGGATGAGCAATGCATTTTCCAAGACTTTACAAGGTGCATTCCGCATGGCACAATCTGTGTTTGTAGAGTTTTAAGAATAGCAGGACTAGATTGGAATTTCTTGGTAATACAGAAGACATAGTAGGAAGGTTTTGTACATATATGTACATGATGCCATGCTATTTCTTGATAAATCGTTGGTTATTATATGTATAATTCTCAGAAAAGTTCTAGAAAATATGGAAAATATGACATTCTTCTAAAGTATTGTTCAACAGCGTGTTTATACATTACATAAACACAATGCCATGTTTACTTACTCCACCATAATAGATATTGGGCCCGACCTTCCATTTTCCTTCTATTTTCACCAGTAAGTTTGGAAAATAAATAAAAACAATTCTCATGAGAATGACCTTACTCTGTCCAGCTTTCATGCCATAGAGCCTTTTCATTTTGTTCATCCAAAATGGATTAAGTTAAAAAATGTGAAGTCAGACTTAACAGTGATTTTCTTAATTTTGGTTAATCACAGTGAAAAAAAGACATGTTTGTATATCATATTTCTCATGTGTCAGGGATCATAAAGATCTCATGATAGGCCAAAGTTAACAGTTATGTTAACCCATGGTTAAATAATGAATTAATCCATGATACAGTCACTATAGCAGAATAAGCAGCCCATACTTATTAAGCTCAGCAAGAGCTTTTTTACAAGCTTTAGTAGAAAGTGAATCAAGTTCCGAGGTCATGCAAAATTTTGCTGCTATGGACATGGTGAAAAAGGAGAAACTCCTCACTTATGTTAAAGAACACAGTTTAAAAATAAAATAATCAGAAGTTAACTTTATGTATTTGTTAATTGCCACAAACATTTATAATGTACCTGCAGCAATCTGTAAGCACATCTTAGGTAAAGACAAAAAGAATGAGGGGTAATGGTCTCTTAGACTTCTTGTGGCCTCACAAAATCATACAGGACAAATATAATTCATTCTTCAAACTTCAAAGCTGAAATGTTACTGTGTAATTTTCCTCCGAAGATGGATATGCATTAAATGATAATGGATCTCAGGTTTATCTTTAATGATGATCACAGTGACAAAACTGAGAAATATATGAAATTTTACATATACCGAGCTTTGTGAGGCTTTCTTATTGAAACTGGTCAGTTATACAGGTTGTTTGTTGAATATTTGTCTTTCAGCCACGCAATGGAAGGAGATCAGTGGATTTTCGCTAAGGAGGTATTAATTGAATGTTATTAATAAAGATCTCTGTTTAAATATGTTTATCTTTATATAAACAGCCACATAGTTATGTTCAGAAGAGGTGTTTAACGCAGAAAGTCTTTAACTGTGCTTTAACTTAGATTTCTGCAGATAGATTTTTCCAGGTCCATTAAATTCACCTTCCTCCAACTGAAAAGAAGAGAAGCTGTAGGTGCTCACTCCCTGCAACAAAGAAATTGGAAGTGTTTCAGGCAGCAGGAAACAGAGAACACCTGGATTTGTAGATAGTTTGGAAAATTACTAATGATATGTGTATGTCAGGAAGAACCTGTCAAATATACCCTGGGAAGTAAGCTGACCTTCTGGAGCTAATCCTTCTGTTCTTACACAGAAGAAACTCCCACTGAAACTAAGCAGCGACTTCTCCATTTAATTTCAAATAATTCAGCACTTTGGAGTCATAAACAAGCTTTTCTTTGGCAGTATTATGATGATCTCTTATCTAACACATTTTACACTCTATTATACTTTAAGCATTTAGTGTTACGTTGTATCAACAGCTAAAGCTTTTTCTTACCTTTTTCAGGATTTTAGATTCCTGATCTAGAACTAATGCTGCAGGAAGGCTGAGTCCATGGACATACTGTTTTCTTTACAAAAATTTTCCTTACCAATGTACATTTCAAAAATCACGAGAATGTAAATGTTCTTAAATTGGATTCAGTTAAGAATTGAAATGTTTCTTTACTTTCTTGAATGTATTAAAAGCATATTAAAATTCCTTGTTTCCTAGTGTTATGTTTATGACTTGTGTAATGCAACTGTGAAAAAGTTGCAGTGTATGCACATTGCTTCGAACAGTGTTGATATGTGCATTTATTTTCCCTTCTGAATAAAGGCATTCAGTTAGAGTTGCTTTACTGAGAATGTTTGCAGTGCAGACTTTGGGGTTTTTATCAGCATCTATTCTTTCACCACTGGACTAAGAGTGAGCTCAATCCCACAGAAGTCCCATGAAGGCTTTTGCGCTTGGTAAAATCCTGCTGTAAGTCTAAGTCATGAGATACATTTTTTTGTTGCTCTACTACAGCATATACTACTGTGCTGTGACAAAATTAAGGGAACAGAGGAAGAAAGCGTAGGAGAAAGCACCAAAAGTGCCATGCTTTGAAAAAATACAGATATCGCAGTGATGAAAATCCGTAGAATTACCTAGAATTAGAATCTTGGCGGAGCCGCCCCCCTCAACGGCCTTGGCGCCCCAACGGCCGCGGCGCCCCCACTGCCGCCCTCCCGCCGGGTGGGAGCTCCGTGAGGGGAGCGCGCGCCGCGGCGGCCATGCAGGTGGGGCCCGGAGCAGCGGGCGAGTGGCTTCTCCTGGACGTACGTCATGGAGACCATGTGGTATTTTTAATAACCTTGGTTTTAGCAGTTCTCTTAATCATCAGTATTCTTTTGTTTAATCATTAATATCCTTTAAGAATAATAAAGTACTGCACTTTGGTAGCTGGGTAGTCATAGCATACTATAAAGCATCCCGTCACTTGCCCAAGGGGAAGTTGCAAGTTAGTATTTAAATTTAGCTTAGGAGTGTTATTTACACCCAAGAACTGAAGTTACCCAGCCTAGGGGTTCCCAACTGAATATGGCTGACTGTCATCCTAGCAAAGCTGGTGGTATTTCCAGCATTACCTTACCATTACCTTAGGCAGCAACAAGAAGTATCCTGAGAAGTTTTGCTCAGGATTGGGACCTACTAGTGGAGTAATACTGCGTAATAAATCAGTAATTCTGTAGTCCAGGTTTCTCTCTGAAACCGATTTATGTTGGATCATTTTTGCTGTTGCTTAAGTCCTTTGCCAATTATGGTCAAACATCTACTGAAGCTTTTGACACACAATTTACTTCTTCTGTGCATATACTGCACCCTTAAACTAATGTGTTGGTATTTGGGTTCTTACACATTGGTTTAACTCCATTTGTTAAAAATTGTTAAAAGTTGGGCAGCTTCTGATATTCCTTCACACTGGAGTTGGGTTTTATCTCAGAGACGCATCTCGGTTATGTTACTGTGATGTTAAATGTAGTTTTCTTGATTTGGTTCTTCTTTTACATCATGTAAAAGCACCTAGAAAAAGTCCAATGTACAGTCAGTTAATCAATTCACAAACCTGTTGAGACTTATTAAATAGAAATAGTATATACTGCTTAAGTAAAATTCTGTAGAGAGACTTAATTTAGGATGATTTAATTTAGGATGTACAGGTACAGAAATACACGAGGTGTTGAAATCTTTCCTACCAACACTGACCATAGCTTGTCTTCTAGTTTAAAGCTACCTACATTCTATCGCTGTCTCACCAGTCCTTTTCTTTTGTATGATTTTGAAATATGTTTGTACAGTTATGATTATTTTGAAGTTTCTGTCTCAAAACCCTTGATAATTCTTCTGGTAGAAAGAGATTTTTGAAGTTTCTGTCTCAAAACCCTTGGTAGAAAGAGAAATTTGCACTCTGTGAAGCAGAATTTATCCCAACCTAAGTGAGGAAAACCTGTGTATGAGAACATTTGTATGGAGGCCAAGATGTGTGTGTGTGTCACTCCTGTTTCTTCCATCGATTCCCTAGGGTAGCCGTCTTAATTCTGCGGCTTTTTTTTTTGTTGGTATCTTGACTGTATCTGAGTAAGAATACTTCTTTGGTGAAGAATTTGAAACTTGCAACAAGACAAACAGTAAGAAGGTTTCTGGTGTAAGTAGATTAACTGCAGTAAATCATCTAGATTTTTCCTTCTCCATTAGTGACTATTTTAGAGATTATATGTGGACCTTCTCTTTTACTTTTACCAAAGGATTATGGATTTAAATCAAAGAAGAACACATAACTTATTCTTAAGCCTTTATTTATCTTTCTGTATGTGCTTATATACATGCAGCAGTCCTGTGATGTAACTTAACATGGTATATCAGGTAACTTATGTTGATGCATTAGTATTAGTATCATACATTTAAAATAAAATGTTTTAGTAATATTAAATATGAATACAAAAGTCATACCTGTACATGACTATATTTCCCTAAGTAAGTATATGTGACATTTTGGGTTCATTTTTGGTTTCTGAGGAAAGTTTCTAAGGAACCTTTCCTCTAGACAAAACTTTAATAGGTATTTTGGAGGCTTATAGGTTTAATTATGCTTAATTTTTGAGTGCTTTTTCCCCTCCTGTCTGTTCCTTGTTGTTGTGTGTCCAGGTGTGGAAAATGCTAAATGAAAATTCATTATAGGTAAGCGAATGGTCCATGAAGATATAGCAGACTCTAAGTAATACTTTGCCTTTGTTATGGCCTTACTATATGCCAAACGGAAAAGGGGCTAGTTTGGGCTTGAAAAAAAAGAGGCATGGGTGACTAATTTATTGTTTTATTTTTGTTTTATAATACCAAAACAGGATCCAAATGAAGATACAGAATGGAATGACGTATTGAGAGACTTTGGAATTCTTCCTCCAAAAGAAAAGCCAAAAGATGAAATTGAAGAAATGGTTTTACGCTTGCAGAAAGAAGCAGAAGGCAAGTAAAATCAAACAACTGCGTTTGAAAAGTGACGTATTTGCAGTAATGCTTTTTGACCCATAAATAGTGCATAATAATTCTTATTTTAATTATTTTCACCTTTTTTTTAAGAATACTGAATTAAACATACCATACCAGAACAGATGCCATAATGTTTGTCACTAATGTACAGATAACTCATTTATATCATTTTAATACAGGGACTAAGCAGTGTAAGCAAGATTCACATGCAAACAAATTGGTAGTAATTCACTCCTGCAATTCAGTAAGAACATGTGGATTTCATTAAAACTGCTTTCTCCCTTTCCAGCAGCAAAATATTTTCCTTCTTGTAACTGTTTTCCATTACTGCAGACTCCTCATATGATTAATATTTTCAATTTCTCTGAAAGATTTAGTGATTTATGAGCCAAATTAACAGACAATCCTTTACATTTGTCATCACAATCTTGTACATCAAGTATCTTTTTAGTCCAAACCTAGCTATTGGCATGAAAACATACATGTTGTATCCACAGTGAGCATGAAACAAAATCTTTGCAGATACCTGTATGTATTAGAAAATTGTTACTGTGGCTTCCCATAGCACAATGTCCCTTTGAAGCACAGCAAGTTAAAAACATAGTAGGAACTGGGAGTAGCATCTCTGTGTAAAACTTACTTTTGGTAGCAGCTTCATTCCTGCAGGCAAGCAGCTTTGTATAGAGCCACTTGGGCTCTTGTTTAAATGTTCTGTAGTAATTCTCACTTTCTGACAAGTTCCAGGCTTCCAGAATGTGAGGCAAGTTAAAGCTGGTGCAGTTGGATAGATGTAGTTGGATCCAAGGACATAATATTCAAATACCTAAGCAAGTAAATACCAGATATGGTTAAATATTTTCCTTTTTTCTGTGTTAAGCAAAGGTGTATAGCAAAACTGGCTAATCTCTGAAATTATTTTTACATTTTTTCTTTCATTAATTCTGTATCTGCATAATAATTTTCATAAAAACATTTAAAGTGTTATCCTTTTGAGAACAAAAGATAACTTTTTTTTTGTTTGTCCTAGTGAAACCTTATGAAAGAATGAATCTTAAAGAATTAAAGGAAGCTGAAGATGACTTTGACGAGGCCGATATGAAAGCTGTTGAAATGTACAGGTATAGTAAGATATTCTTAGATGGAATATACAGTTCCTGTATGTGTCACTGCTGTACATGTCCACAGAATCATACAGTGGGTGAGGTTGGAAGGGACCTCTGGAGATCATGTCATTAAATTCCCCCAATTCCTTCTGACTCACAATATGGGTGAGAGGGAATTTAGCAAAGAGAGGGAATTTACACTGTAGTTAGCTTTGACATTTTAAAAGTGTATTTCCCTTTTAAAATATTTAATTTATTCTCAAAGCTGCGTGTTTAAAGGAAGAGACCACCATTAGGTCAATGAAGATACACCTTACCATGGAATGCAGAAAAGCATTGCTCGTTTGAAGTGTTCTATACACATCTGAGTTACAACATTTAATTTACACAAGTAAATTCACAACTCGTGACTAATTCACAACTGTTCTTCACTCTGAAGTGCCACTTTCTGCCAGTCATCAGGAATTAGAGCAAAGCTGATGAATACTCAAAGAAAGAAGTTCTGTAACTTTTTTTTTTTTCTCTTGTCTCCTGGATATCAGTTTCTGTACATTTCAAATCAGGAGGAAATGGAGTTGTTTGGGAGCTTCTTTCTTACAGAATCTCAAGTTGCATACGAATGTGAGGAGAAACAGGATGCATGGATCGCCCCAGTTTTTCAAAAGCTACTGAATTTGTACACATGAGGTGCATGCTACCTTCAAAAGGACTTGCATTCAGGGTGGCGTGCTACTAAAGAATATGTGCTGGAATGAAACTTTATGTTCGCAATTGATAATTGAATAATTAATCTAGTAAATAGTGTTTTATGCAAAATACATCTCTTTTAGGTAGCACTGATTTCTGTTAGATTATGATTTCCAAATGTACTACCAGAATGAAAATGCAGTGTAGAGTTTTTTATAAATTATAATTTTATAATTCACACACTGCAATTTCTATGCTAGAATTGTTGATAGTTGATAATGCTGTGCATTTTAAAAATATATTTGATAAGTCAGCTGTGGACTTCCAATATAAAACTTGATGTTTGTATTCTTTTAATCTAATACTCATTTTAATGGCTTTTCTGTTTCTTAGTTCAGGAAAATGCTGTTTTAAAGTCTATATACATTTCACTATACTAAAGCATAACTATAGAACAACCCAGATTCTCATCAAACTATTTAATATGATTATAGCAATCTTTTTACTTATAATGTCATGCAGAATCAGTATGTTTTATGATTTCAGGCTCAAAAAACTTCGGCAGCTTACATGGACACTTAGTAATCTTAATTATATTAGATGTTCACATGTGTATTTTTTTTCCCAGATATTTCTGAAGCACTTTTAGTTCTGCAGAGCTTGGTGCTGTCGCTAAGAAAAATAAGATATGCAGTACATGCAGAATTAAAAAGAAAAAGAAATGATGAAAATGTTTAAAATGTTTCCTCTGTCTAGATTGCCCATACTCAGTGTTTTTGCTTTTTAAAATGACTAAAATAATTCCAGTGTTAACTCTGTATATCTTGTCCTGTATTCTCATGAAAAGATAATTCATCGTGTGAAAGTTGTGTATGTAAATTATCATGCATTCTTGCTACAGTATGTTACAAATATATTATTAAACCTTTTAAGAAGAAAGCTACTTCTGTAGGAAAATCAATTACTTTTTAGTTTGGCGAATTTAAGGCATTTTTCATTGTCTATGTAGTCAATAGGTTTAGAGTTGAAGGCTGCCACCTACTGTCTTAACATTACATTTTCCACGAATTGTTTCAAATTACATTGTATAATATTAAGACAAAGAGTACTGGTAATTCTCGCTCAAACTAATCTCATTGTCATAAAAAAAAACCTCACCTTCCTTAATACTTCTTACTGTGTCTCCATATCAAAACTCTTGTGTAGTATTTGTTACTTAAGTTACCAAGTCTGGAATTAATACACGCACTTAAAAGAAGAAAATGCATTTTAATGCTATCCCATTGAATAAAAATTAGCAGAGGAGCCTTTCTAACTCAGAAATATTCTGCTGATACTAAAAGATCCTGAACTAGAGAATATTATTCAAAGCATTTTGTTTAAAGGAATTAAAATAACTGCACTTTATATTATTATAAACTCTATTTCAAATTTTTCAGCAACTTTTTTTTTTTTTCATTAGGCAGCAGCGGTTGCAAGAATGGAAGCATCTTCAGCGGAGACAAAAGTATGGGGAGCTAAGAGAAATTAGTGGAGAGCAGTATGTAAAGGAAGTTACAAACGCTCCAGAAGATGTTTGGGTTATAATTCATCTTTATCGATCAAGGTAATTGCTTTTTTTTTTCCAAAAAAAAAAAGGCAATACCAAGAAAAATTAAACATATAAGCTTTACTGAAATAGTCATTGTTCAGAGCCAGTGGAACCCTGGAAAATGATCCCAGAGTGAGCCTACCTTGATTTGTTAACTCATTTTGAGAGAGGTAATGCCTTCAACCTTCATCATTGTACCAAAATTTCTTTAAGGTGTATCCTTATCACCATGTCCTGAATTTCAGAAGCATTGAGAATGAGTATGGAATGCTTCTGAACATGTTTTTCAGATTAGAACAGCTTTCTCTCTTCTTTCTTTTTAAGATTGTTAAGAGGAAGTGAGAGGTGGTAGGGTTTTTTTTTTCCCCTTTTATTTGACTGGAATGGAGCATTCTTTCCAGCAGCAAGGAATAGGTCAAATTAAATTGTTCAAATTACAAAAATATAATCTAATTTGAGCATCTGAAGAAACAAAATAGAAGCTTTTTAATTTTTGTTTATTGAAGGATCAACTCATCAGTGAATAAATATGAGTCTCTGAGGAAATTTGTAATTCCTTAGGAATGAGTACCAAATCTCCCAAGCCAATTGTGGGTAGAAAGTAAGAAATCTGTTATGCCAGAACTGCAACCCTAGCTGTATTTGGCCACCAGAGGGTACTGCTGGAACTCTTTGAGGTTCCTATGATCAATCTGATTCTGAACTCTGGTCTGTTACAATAAAGATCCTAATTTTAAAAGGCTAAAGGAGAAACCAACAAAAACGTTGCTTTTTTTTTTAATGAGGGTAATATATTGTTGCATCATAAACACTGGTTAGGAAAGTAATGAGCAGGTCATAATATGAGTACTGAAAGGCTTCCTTGAAGTTAGTCAGATGGTACTAAAAGACTGGAGAAGTCATTGAATGTTGAACTGGAAAGCAATTTAAATAACCTACAGTAAAGGTCATATTATCAATTTAAAACTTCCTTTAAAATCTGGGGGAAAAAATGACAAATTAGTTTTAAAGTCTTAGTGGAGAACAAAATTGAAGCACAATGCTTGAAGCTTCTGGTAGGTTTAAAGACATACATCATATACTGCCTATTATATATGTATTCAAAGTTTTAACTTGGCCAGCTCTTTAAGCCAAAATATTCTTAAAAAAAAAGCTAAAATCTGTGCTGTAAATCCTATCCTAAACTAAAGCAGAGGTTAACAACATGTAAATATATGTTCATTCTTCAGAGCTTTGCTTTTTAATTGACTCTAGTTGTTTTACAAATCATTACACTGGAAGTGTCATCAAACACATTTCTTTTTTTTAGCATCCCAATGTGTTTACTAGTTAACCAGCATCTTGGCCTGCTAGCCCGAAGGTTTCCAGAAGCGAAGTTTGTCAAAGCTGTTGTGAACAGCTGCATTCAGAATTACCATGACAGGTGTTTGCCCACAATATTTGTGTATAAAACTGGTCAAATCAAAGGCAGGTTCATTGGAGTAGCTGAATGTGGGGGCATAAATCTTAAAGTGGAAGGTAAGAGAAATTTTTTTAGATTATTCCTTTATAGAAAATCTGACAATTATTAATAATCATCAAAACTTAAAATCATTGCTCAAAGTTGGAAAAGATTTTAAAACATTTTTGTAAGAAAATAGTATTGTCTATGTATTGATCTAAGGTTTGTAGAGGTTTTACAAACCTCTGTATTCTTCTGTTCTCTCTTCTAAGTAATTCTGGATTATATCACATCAAGTTTTATTAAAACACATTCTGTAGCTGATGTATCAAAACTATACATATATGGTTCTGTTAACCTGATATCTTCATGTTTGTTTATTCTCACAACTGCCTACTTTCCACTACCCATCACTTCAACATCTTCTAGTATGGCTCCAATTTTCCTTGTTACTGATTTCATTGGATAGGTATTGTATCAGTTCATATTTGGAAGTTTTTCTTGAAAAACATGAAGAGTAAATTTCTACTCTTCTAAATGAACCAAAATTACAAGACTATATAATGTATTTCTAGGGAAAAAAATGGGGGCTAAAATTAGAATATTTTATGCTTAAAAAAAAAATCCAGATGCTTTCAAAAAGAAAAGCTCTGTTTCTGCACTTGCCCGATGACTGGGAGACTCGGGTTACTTTCACTGTGCCTGGAACATCTTCCTTCATATTGGAAGGTCTCCAGACAGAGGGGAGGAAAAAACTGGAGTCCCTTGTCTCTTACCAGCAATACCCATTGCACTGCCACCCAAGCTCAAGTGAGGGTTTGCTGTCTCCTGAGAGTCACCTGTCCCTTTCTATGCAGCTCTGATTAATGCAGTATGAAAATGTAGTTAGCAACTGTCTAAATTTTTAAAATAATTTGTATGTTCTTTGAATAAATGTACTTTGTACTCATTTCTTGCAATAAATGTTGTTTGTTGCAGAGCTTGAATGGAAACTAGCAGAAGTAGGAGCAATAAAAACTGACTTAGAAGAAAATCCTAAAAAGGACATTATGGATATGATGACATTTTCAATGCAAAATATTTCTGCTCACAAGGACACCAATACCAAAAGCAGTGATGTGATGAAACCAAACATTACTTAGGCAGTAATTTTTAGTACATCTGCACTAAATAGCTCCTTCCTCTTTTTGTAAACCTGTAACAATACAAGGAGTTCTTGTTTCACTTGTATGCTTTTAGTTTTGACTCTTTGAAGAAAAATGAGTAAATAACCCCCAAATTTAGCTTTGGATAGACAGAGAGGCTCCTACTGACACTGAGAACCTGGATTCTCCATTTCATACAAACCCTGCTTGAATAGAATTGAAAAGGGAAGATGGTGGGCTGTGCTCCATGACTTTTTTCCTACTTTTCTCCAGGATGCATGCAAGTTTGAGTTAATTAATTCCCTTAGTAAAATGATTGATTGTGATAGAATTCTGCTTTGCAAACTACCTTCTCAGTTCCTCCCACTGAAAAGCTGGCCCAAGGAGAATGCGGTGTATGGTGACATAAAAGCAAGAGTTGGCCCTAAATCCTTTAACCATATATATATATATATATATATTAGTTTGACACTTATGCAGTAATCTTTTCCCATTTCAAGGATAATCTTCTCACTATTTTTGAATATGTACATTTGGGTTGCTTCTTCTTTCCTAACAAAGTAAGTATCTAATTAGCAAAACAGATTACAGTGCCACTGTGGATAAGCAGAATGAAACAATGCAAATGAATGAAGAGACCAAGCTTCTTATTCAGCATTTTATTTTTATTATGAAGAGCAAATTGAACTGTATACTATTAATGTTATTTTCCAGTGACTAAACTGAAAAAAAAAACTGTATGTACTAATGAAGATTTAATTAGATGCAGTTTATGGCATCAGGATGCAGGAACAAAAATGGAACAAACAGTTCACTTAATAGTTTGCACAGTTAGGTTATTAATAAATATCTACTAATAGAAATCACTACAAGAAGCATTTATTTTGCAGATTGAAGGAGATCACTAGATGTATCTCAGCATGTCAGCAATGCATCTGCCACTTAGAACTAGACGCAGGAATTTTAAGTGTAACCTGGATTAATTAGCTAAGACGCAGGAATTTTAAGTGTAACCTGGATTGCTCTGTGTGTGTGATGACCATAGGCTTTGCCAACTGTTGCAGACAAACCTTGGGGATTAAAATATGGTTTCAGAAGGTGAAATGTTTGGAAGAAATACTTTTCATAAGACTATATGGTTAACTGGTTGGGAAGCCATTCCAGCTTGAGAAAAAACAAATGAGCAAATGCAAACCACTTATTTTTTCTGAGATGTGTTTTCTAAGGTGGATCACGCGCACACGAGTATGCTGTACCAATTACTTGGGCAGTGTATCCTCCAACGTGGCAGTAACAAAGTTAGCATGGTCATCAAAAATTCTAGCTAGCTTTCCCCTGTCCCTTCAGTTTAGTATTGGTGTCACCTCCTGTGAGCTTACTCTCCTGGAGCTCGCTTCTGCCTCCCTCCTGTGCCCGCAGGGAGTTACACCAGCACAAGCACAATATATAATTGCACAAGTGCTAGTGCTGTCTTTAAGAAATGTGGAATTTAGATTCGAAACCTGCATCTTCAGATAGATTATCTTAAAAATTTGCCAGTGAGGATCAAAAAGGAACTTTCAGAGTGGGTGATTGTTCTACCGCTCTGAAGTATATTAAGTGCAAGACGTTGATTGCTTGGTAGGGAACATGGCTGTGGTTACGGAAATTTCTGCTTTTCTGGACAAATCTGGTCCCAGTATTCAGTGATTCACAAAAGACTCGCTCTGCAGTGTCTGAAAGCTTTCTGGGTGAAAAAAAAAATCCCTATCATGATTACTACTGACTTTTAGAATTACTACTGAATTTAGAATTACTACTGTTTACTGAAGATCTTGTTGCAAATACATCACATGACATTTACATAACATACACAGCTTGATGCCGCTTTCAGCCTCTGGCTTTCTTGGCCATATTCTAGTTACGGTAATATTTCAGTTTTGCTGAAATTGTTCCTGCAATTTCTCCATTCTTGGTGCATACCATTATATTTTCTGCATTTCATCACAGGAGTATTATCCTTTGCATGAGTTACGAAATATTTGATTTTGTTTATACCACATTTTCCTTCACTGAAAGCCAGAAAGTATTATGAATCAGTTATGAAAAAACAAAAATCAAGTGGTTTTACTAATCCTTTAAAAAAGTCTTCCTGTGGAAAAACTGAGGTTATGTTTAGCTCTTTGGCAGTGTTACTACTTAGAGACTCCTGCTCCCCCCACTACCTCTGCTCAAGCTGTACAGTCACATGGTGATTCAGGAAACGTCTACCTGAAAAATAATCCAGAAAGGAAAATCCATGAGATTTTTGCAGTCAGATCAAGTTCCTTACTTCATTCTACACACATTTTTTTTTTCTTTTGGAGGGGCATGGGGAAGAAGGCTGATTTAACTTCTACAGATACACATCTGTAATCACATTTTCAGATACTTTAGGGGACCGACTGAAAAATAAACATCCTTGTAACTGCGGAAGAGGACTGGGAATATTTACATACTGTCACTACTGAGTAATGTGTTTTACAGCAAACGGTTCCCTGCCGTGCGCCGCCGCGTGCGGGGCCGCGCTGGCAGGCTCAAGCAGCTGTCCGCCACAAGCAGCGGACACTTCTGCTCGAAAAGGTTATAGATTCCCGCTTGAAAACGTTGCATTATTTTAAGGGGTAAATCAGGGTTTTTAAATCGGCTCCGCGGCGCCGCCGCCATTTCCTGCCGCCGGGGTGAGGCGAGGG